TCCCAGCTTCGTATAGATGCAGATGTGCTGCAGCTTGGCCCAGTAGTTGGCTAGTTGCTCTACATTGGAGAACTCAAAGTTGAGCTGTGTGTACGAGCGATCGGCGCTCACCTGCATGTAATTGTGCTCAGTGCTGGACGTGGTGTCCAATAGGCGAGTGCGCTGGTTAAGGTATACCCAGCGGTGCAAAGAGTCGCGACCCAGCTTCTGCTCGCTAACCTAGAAGAGATTACATTCAAGTTTCAGTAAAGATTGATTAAATGGGATATAAGAGTAGATGAAAGTAAGGAAGTTCCCTCACCTGGATAAGACCCATGTTGTTCAGCAAGCGCAGAGTTCCCACGTACAGCGTTTGCAACTTCAGTCGTGGTACAATGGACTCCAACCTGAGCTGGGAAAGCAGGTAGTGCTGGCGGATGGGATGCTGAAGCTGCACACGTAACTCGTCATTGGACTCGCGTTCTATGCGACAGATGCGCAGAAATAGCGAGAGCGGCATTCGGTCCATGGCGTCCATGAAGTAGAGCCAACCAGATGGCTTGTCCTCGTAACGCGGCAACGGCGGTATAAAGGTGCGCCATCCTATCTCCTCGGTATAGGGCTGAACTTTGTACTCCTCCGCCTGCCACTCCTCAAAGAACTGGCGTGGTTGCAATGCCGGTTCCGATTTTTGCCACTGCTGCACAAGTTCAGCGGTCATAGCAAGAGGCTTCTGATCCAGCGGCAGCTCATGATGAAGATAGTAGAGGAACTCGTGCAACGTCCTGGCCAGCAGTAGTTTGGGCGCCTGAGTCTTGAACACCACACTTGAGCGCTCCGCCATCACTTTTCGACGAGCGAGTACCTCTTTGCGCTCCTTGGGAGGCATCTGTGATGGCCGCCTTATGCGCTCCTCGGTGATTAGATGGTAGTTGCTTTTGAGCTTGAGGATCTCGCGTTTCATAACCGCGTGGTCAAGCCCGATCTTTGGGTGCGTGGCAAAGCGGTAGACGCGAACTCGCTGATTGTAGTGAAGGGTGATCTCGAACACGTTTAAAATATGATCCTCCACCATAGGAAGCAGCATGCGCATTAAAGAGCGGCGACAGAGGACGTCCTTAAACCCTGCCTGGCGTTCTGTCTCCTGGACGGTCCTTAGCATTCGCGGCAGCGGCACCAGACAGTTCTGGTCGATCTGGCGCACAATCATTTTCTGGCGGTTAAGTAGACGCTGTGTCTGGTTGCCCAATCTGGTCTTTTTGATTTTGAACGCTACGGGTCGAGCATTCGTTACGATCTCGGGCATGTCCTTCAGCAACACATCAGTGCTTTCGATAATATTCTAAGGACGAAAGATTGAATGTATAAAAACTCGTGATTTAATAGTAATATTTGAACTCTACTTACCGGCTCATCCTTACACTTGATCTCCAGCTCCTTTTTCTTGACCTCGTCTTCTTTTGCGCGGTCTTCTAAGTGCTGTACGGCCACGAAGCGGAACTGCCGACTCTTTCCCACCTGTTCCGAGTACTCCTGGACCATTCCATTTTTCTTTACTCGCTTGATGAAATGACGCATTGTTGTCGCGTTAATACCCGTGTAGTGGCACAATTCGGTGCTATTAAGGCCACGCTTGCCGAATCTCGCCACGGCGCGTAGAACCTCCTCCTCCGGAGGCATATCTAGGTAGCAGTGGCCGAAATCCAAGAACTCGGACGCCGGACTCTCCTCGGTTTCCTCGGTTTTGTACAGATCCTTGAGCTGCATGTCTGGATTACGCAGTTGTATCACGGTCACCTTGCGTGTGGTCGACTTGGACTGCTTTCCCGACTTGGTCAGCGGCGGCACCGGCCGCTCTACTTGCGTGGTCTCGAAGAACTTGCGAAAGGCGTGCGTCACCAGTAGCTTCTTGGTCTTGAAATTGGTTGGGCGGCCCAGCAACTCGGTTATTTCGGTCACGGGTATATGGCGGTTGCTGGACCGCGTTATCGCAAGATATAGCTTCTCGAGGTTCTCCTGTGAGTGGTTCTTGTAGATCCGGTAAAAGCGCGGCAGCATCAGCAGCGAAGAGGCCAAAAAGCGCCCCTTATTGATTTCATTATAGTTCTGGGCGATGATTAACTGCAGGTTAATCAACTTATTTCTGAAAATAATGTTTTCATTCAATTAAATCAGAATGTTAGTTACATATATGTATAGTATAAAACTAAGTCTAAGCTGCAACTCACTTGATGTAGAAGAGGATTCCAGTGTCCTTGCTGTAGTTCATCAGCGACCAAGGACCTCCGGTTGTGTGTCCGCTGTAACGCGACCGCCCGATGGCCTCCAGGAAGATGTAGTTGGGTAGCGGCAGGTTCTTGGGCATCATGAGGTGATCGGGGGTGAGTGCCGACTCCCGAAGTTCCTGCGAGGCCACCACCACGAGCCTGCCAGCCCACTGTTCGGTGGCTTGATCGGCATTCAGAGTCTGCAGTTCGCTAGAGGGGATTGGCTTGCGGGTCTTGAAGTCGTTGCAGTTGCCCTTGATGTCGCCCTCGTGCACGTAGGCGGGCGGAAACAGCATGAAGGGACACTGCTCCGGTACCACGGGCAATCCCAGCTGCTCGTCCATGTCGTTCAAACGATCATAGTAGGGCATCGTTGGTCGCTCCGCCGGCAGTTCAAAGAACTCGATCTTGTGGGGCGGAGAGCGGAGCAGCAAGGTCCACGCCTGCTGCCGAATGCGATCGGGCAGCGGAGATGGAGCAAACTCCAGGCGCCTGGCCAGCAGGACCCAGAGATCTGATGAGAATATGGGGATTACTAGGGATTGCAGCGCAAAAGGCAGGGGAATCACTTACAGGGCAGTGTTACCCCCTCCAGGCCTTCGAGGGCCACCTCATCGTAGATGGCGTTGATCCAGGATCCTCCCGAACTGGCGCTCATTCTTAAAAAGTTGGACGAACTCTAGTAATTGCGATCAAAACAAATTACTGAGATTTGTAGGGTTGCCAACCACTGCAAAGTTGGTATACGCATTCAAAACATCTGTTGCTGACTCGTTAATATAATTTTTAAATATTAATAATAGTTTATTAAAAAATTACCATAGATTAAATAAGCAGATCTGAAGAGGAAATTCTCTCAAACAAGACCTATTTTGACTTTTTGAATTGCATGTTGCTAGAGTTGCCAACGATTGTAAAGTTATCGATTACTATCAGGAGAGCACGTTGTCATCTCTAGACTCCCACGCACCAAAAAAAACAGCTGTTGCTAATCGTAAATAGACGCTGGTTTCGGCTTCTGTGCTCTAAATTGCTTATTAAAACCTATTATTTAGCCACAAAATGTCCTCTGCTATATACTTGGAGAACTATCTGGACGGTATAACCTTAGTTGCACCTGAGACTCACTTGGAAACTTATAATATTTACAATTCCCAAACAGGATTGGAGAGTCTGCCCACCGAGCTGGAGCGAAACTTTAAGCTGATGCGAAAACTGGACGACCGCGCACAAACTGCCATGAAAAGCATCGACAGCCATGCCAAGGACTTTATGCGAAAGCTGGGCGAGAACGGGGCCATGAGCGACGAGGAGAGGAAGGAGCGCCAGGAAGACATCAAGGCGTTGTTCGGAAAGGCCAAGGAATACAGTGACGACAAGGTGCAGCTGGCCATCCAGACATACGAACTGGTGGACAAGCAGATCCGGCGACTAGACAACGATCTGGCCCGCTTCGAGGGCGAGATCCAGGAGAAGGCTTCCTCAACACGCGCCAAGTCCGAGGAAGTGGTGGCCAAGAGTATGATTCGACTTCGGTATCTTTCTTTCCACAAGGTAACCCTCATATTTGACTCCTTCTTCCAGAGGGCCGCAAAAAGACCAAGGACAGCAAGACGACGGGCAAAAAGAAAAAGTCCGCCTCCTCGGACGAGGAAACTGGGCGTGGCAACAACCAGACCAACGCCAATTCCAGCCTAAATTCAAGCAGCAATGCCGGACAAGGTACCAAAAAGAAAAAGTCCAAGGTAAATCAAGAAAAAGAAACTCGCAAGGGGGGCGCACAAAAGGTAAACCATCCACATTCTCATCTATACATTGTTAGAATCTTAGTATGTTTACTATATTAAAGTTTTTGGTTGTCCCGATATAGAATTTCTTTTTAGATCTTTAGCTTACCCCCATAGAAATCCTGCATTGTCCATTGTCTTCACGCTGTCGTTTGCATTTTCACTTTTGTTACTGCATGCCTCTACCATTCAAAACCCATTTCTCACACTTTTTATTATAACGTAGAAAACCGTCGAAGTGGATGACTCGGAAAAGGAATCGTGCCACACGGCCGCCACGCATCCCAGCGATGTCATGGACATGCCCGTCGATCCCAATGAGCCAACTTATTGCCTGTGCCACCAAGTGTCATATGGCGAGATGATTGGCTGTGACAATCCCGACGTGAGTATCCGTTTTCTATATCAGTCAGTAGTAATGGCTTTTTCAACCATTTTTCAGTGCCCCATCGAGTGGTTCCACTTTGCCTGCGTTGGCCTCACCACAAAGCCAAAAGGAAAGTGGTTCTGCCCCAAGTGTACGCAGGACCGAAAGAAGAAATAGACGCAATTCCCTCTTTAATAGTTTAGAATAAACCTAGATTAAGAACTAAAATATTAATATGAATAAAGCTTCGGCTTGTCAATAATGTCACTAATTTATACTTTTATTTAAATACCATGAGGCGGTTCGTAATCAAATAGCGTGTAAAATAATATTTTTGTACTTTACACATTTTTCAACACTCTTTGGATTTAGAAAGCCAAATATTTATAATATTTAATTTTTGATTAACGAGCTTTGTGTTTGTTTGATCAATGGGAAGATCTGCTGCAAGATCTTTGCTCCATTTCCATTCACTTTTAATTTTTCCGAGGCTCCATGTTTTTTACTTCGTTTTGATGCGATTTGAAAACCGTGTTTCCCAACACTGAAAGCTGTAAGAACTAGAGATAACCCCCCTATTAAATAAAAAGTCAATGCAAGTAGCGATTACTGAAATACCGAATATATTCATAAGCCTTATCACCTCCGCAGACCAACCACGTACATATTTTAAGCCTAGTTAGCTAGTTTCACTGTTTTTTTTTTGGTTTTTATGTGGCCTTTAGAGTTTTAGACAATTTCAAAGCGACTAATACAAGGGTTTCACAGAAACCGTCGACGGTTTTGGAAACCAACCAACCAAAACCGTTTCAGTGACACCCCTGATAGATTCCAATATAGATTACACACTTGTATATGCAAGTGTACATACGTTGTTAGGTGTACATATATGAACATTTACATATATAGTGAACAAAGTCAACTGTCTAATCGAAGGAATCGGTTAAAGAAAACAAAAACTTAATATCGCCATTACTTTGAGCCAAAACTGGGGGACCTTTCCAGAAAAAGCTATTCGGTTCGGGTGTTCTCGAATCCATAATCGCTTGCGCCAAATTCCGTGGTGTGCGTTCAGATTTTGCTGCCCCTACTTCTTGGTCATGATCTTTAGATACTCGAGAGCATTCTGGGCGGCATGCCGCTGGGCATCGGCGGCCGTAGCACCGCTTCCGTGGCAAACACCCACGGGCAAAGTGGAGAGCTGAACCAGACACTGGAACTGGCCAGAGAAGGTCTTCTCCTCTATGTCCACGTAGGTTACCTCGAACTGGTTCTCGGTCGCGATCTCGCCCAGCAGCTTGATGTAGTCTATCTTGGTGCTCTTAAGGCAAGTCTTCTAGAAACGAAACATATGGAACCAAATTAGCAGTCTCAAGATAAACAGGAATACATTCGTGTCAATTATGTTGTGTTTTAAGAAACAAATTTAGATAAATTTAGAGTCGAACTTTTAAAGAAGGTACTCTTAGAGGGTACAATTTGAAACAAAGTGATAGAAAAAAATAATTAAAATTTAATTTTTAAGAAAATTTAAATAAACCTGTACAAATCAACTATGTTTATTTACAGCCTGGTATTTATAGAATTCCTAGCACATCAGAATAGTTTAGATAAAGTACATGTACCATTTCCAATAGATTAAAGCAGATATTATTTAATATTTCGTTAAGCCAAAAGATAAACATAATTTATATTAAAAGCTTAATGCCATATGCTTTAAGTTTGGGATGGGAAAAGGAGATAAAGATTTAAGGGAAAAGCTGGGTAGGCCTAGACCAAATTTGTGGGAAATTAAAACTGTATTTTAGAAAACTGTTTTAAGACTTGAAAGTTCGACTTTAGATTTAACTTTAAAATTTGCTATCCATTGCAAAAAGCTGAGAGGATAAACTCTAATTATTTGCAAAATATATATGTATTGTAGTGACTGAAATTTACCTGTAATTTGAGAAGTTTTTTGCCCGTCGCATTTTTTAAGGTCTTATGGAACTGGGATACTTTGTTACTGTGCTGCGTGGTCAGTGTCGGCACAGAGATATCTTTCAATTCACCATAATAATTTTCGCTACTGCGGGGCTGTAAATAAGAGCGCAAAGTTGTTGGTTTCTTTTCTCCGTTGTATTTTGCACACAAACGAAATTTCCCACGCCAATGGTGAGTTGAAACATATCGCATGGATGTGGGATGGGTGCTTTAAGCGGTCGAGCTCTAGGACTGCTTAGTACAACTAAATCCAAGCATATATATAGATACTACCACAGATCAATAAAGAAGGAAAACAGAATATGGAACAGAAGACAACCAAATAAACCACATAAATACATAAGTCAACGAATAAAAATCAGGTTTAAGCATTTTGGTAAAATTTGTATTATTGATTTTGAATTGCTAATAATAAACACTGTAACTAAAATCAATGTAAGTTTGTACATTTTATCAGGGCTGTATTGGGACCAGGGAATCAAACCGATTTCCATTCTCCGGTACCGGTTCAGCACCGAATCGACTATTGCGCTAGGCGATCCATTTTGATTTTAAAGTTTTGGTTTCGTTTCTCTACCGGTAAGTACAGGTTAAGCAAAAAAAATTCCAAATTAGAGATGCTAATCCAAAATGTACATGGATTGAAGGGTCAGATCATAGTTATAGAACCCTTTCAAAGGGTATAAAAAGAAAGAAATAAACAAGTTCTAATCAACTTTGGCAACGGTACAGAACTCTACATAGATTAAGGTACATCACTTTTTTAAAATTCATTAATGAATATTGTACACTTGAAGATTTCGGTTACTTTTTGAAATTGGGCGGGAGGGATTTTTAAGGAAATTAGGGGATGTTAGACAATGTTATACATATATTTACCAAATTCCAATTTAAAAAAATCTTAAATACAAGAAAACGGCCGTAAAACAATACAAATATATGCTAACTAAGGCAGACCGCAACCAATTAAATATAATCAGTCGGTTATTGGAAGCATGCGTGGAGTGTTATAAAAAAGTGTGGGGTTCTTAAATCCCTGGGTTAAATCTCAAGCAACTTAAAGTCTTCAGAGATTCGCACGTATCGATCGCTGACTTGGGTGGTACTCACTTCGCCCTCCAACTCGCCGCAGATGCTGTCGCTGATCTTGGCCGAATCGATGGGCGCATCCTGCAGCCGCATCCACATGCGGTGGGCGGCCAGGCGCTTGGCTATCTTCTTGCTCTTGCCCTTGCCCATCTCCCGGTAGTTGAGGATCGAGCAGGCGATCGTGAAGAGCCGCTCGTGGGGCAGCCCCACTTCCGTTTCCGTTTCGTACGACGGTGGTGGCCATCGCCGTTGCATGCACATCTCCTGCAGCCAGCCAATGGGATTGCCCACGATCTTGTCGCCGCCACTGCAAGAACACCACAAGGATAAAGGGATTAGGTAGCGCCTAGGCAGAGATCCCGGCAGAGCAACTCACTCTCCTCCGCCCGTGGCATTGGCGTTGCCGTCTCCTCCGCTTCCGGCGACCGTGAGCCCAGTCACCGACGGACCGGCGGAGCTGCTCGGCGATTCCGGCAGCTGCGCGCCGATCAGCTTGTCGATGAGCGCACGGGCCGCCGCATGCTTGGCCTCCTTCTTCGAGCGTCCCGCACCCATGGCCGTGAAGGGCGTGTCCTTGTCCTTGAAGGACACGCGGAACCGGAAGGTCGGCTCATGAATGGCGCCCTCGATCTGGACGAGCTCATAGCCCGGCGTAATGCCGCGCCGGCTGAGTAGCTCCTGCAGAATGCTGACGGGCGTCTTCATGGCCAATCCATTGGCATCCGTCTCGCTGACGAATTTAAGAGCCTCGTCGCTGGGCATGATTCCCCCCATCAGGCCAGCTGCTCCTGGTACTCCTGATCCGCCCGCCAAGGCGGGATCACCGATCTCCGTCAGCTGCAGCTGGCCCGGCTGAGCCACCTGGGCAATCTTCTCCTTCTTGATCTTCACGGGGCGCTGCCCCAAAGGGGCACCCTTTACCGGACTTCCGCCAGCTGGGTTGCCGTTGCCCAGGCCACCTGGGTTCTCATACTGCCGCCGCGGAGCAAATCCCGTCTGGACGGGATTCGGGGGCGCCTGCTGCTGCTGCTGTTGGATGTGAAGGCTCTGCAGCTGCTGCGGCAGGCTGTGCCCCTGGAAGTTCTCCTGGTCCATGGTGTTCCTGTTTCTTACGGTATTCGGTAGGACTCGGTGTGTATCTGCTTGGGTTTTTGGGGTAATATGTGGCTGAAAAATCGATATATCACCGCCGGGGCAGCGGACGAAAGCTGGATATGTAACTCCCACTGCCGCCGATTCTCGAGGACTACTCACGGTTGATTTGCGGTTTTTAACTGTTTTTTATTTAAGTATAATTTATTAATGGCTAGTTAATAATTCATTCTTAAATAAAAAATACAGCAAAATCCAGACGCACACACGAATTGAGATGTATGTATGTATACTGGTGGTCGTGGTTGCCAGACTGTTTTGGGATTGCCTACTCATTTGAGAAACTATTGCCACCCCTAAAAAGCCAGGTTTTTGAATAAGAGTGATTCTTGTGAAAAGTTTATTTATTCTTTATGGTCTTAAAACGATTTTATATTTATATCACAAAATTACTTGAATTAAAAAAAATCGATCTAACAGAAGCGAAGTTATGGTTGTTTTATTTTGGTTTAGTTTCTTAAATTAAGAAATCGATTTGAGACCACAAAGAAAAGATTGATAGGTGTTACAAAGAATCACTCCTATAGGTGAATATGAAAATGTCTCGCTTAGCTTCTGCTTATTTAACCCTGATACTCACCTCAATCATATAGGCAACAAAGCATAAATGTTCATACAAAAATAACAGACGACAAATTTCATAAATCCAATTTTGTATAGAGATGTTCATTTCGTTGCCTTTATGATTGAGGTTAGTATTAGGCTTAAGCTACTACTATAACTGAAAAAAAACAACCTTATACCGACAGTTACAATGGTATAACATATTTTAAACCAAAAAAAAAAGTTTTTACGATTTTGAGTTTATAACTTTAAATCGATAACGATGCTATCGATTTTTCGAAGGGCTATATAAAAGCCCGGTGGAATTGAATTTGTTGTATAAGTATTTATTGCATTTTTTGCTCCATTACTGTTGTACATAATATTAATATATATTTTAAACAACATTCAATCAAATCAAATGTGAATGTATGCGCGGAATTCTGTGGCTCGAAATGCTCGAAATGTGGGACTCCCGTAGCAGTAAACGATAGTTTAATATGGTATTCTAGATCTGGCTCCGATCTTGGCCCGCCCTAATCGTCGCTTAGAAAGTCATCATCCAGGTTCACATCTGTCGTGTCGATATTGTCATCCAACGTGATGCCATCTATCTCCAGGTCTAGGTCGTCGTCGTCATCCGCGGCAGATGTGGGCTCGGCCACGTGGCTGCTGGGAACAGCGGCTTGAGCGGGAACGAAAGTTGGCTTCACCTTCTCCTCCAGCTGCTGGCCGGCGCCACCCTGCTCGACTGCTAGTAGCTCATGGAGGGGGTTACGCTCGCTGTTAAGGGGCAGTTGCGCGGCTATACGCGCCGGCGCCTTGCGAGCCCGCTCCTCCTCCAAATGTTGCTCCACGCGCAGCGCGTCGCCCAGGCCCGGGAAGAGATTTGTATACTGAGCCGGATCGGCCAGCGACTGGCCCGCCTTTTCATTGACCTTGCCGAGCTTCTCGCGCCACAGCTCCACAATCCTCGACATCTGGCTGGGCAGGTAGGTGCGGGCAAAGAACGCTGCCTCTGGCAGGCGGTTCGTCTCGATGAGAATATCCAAGCAGCGTTCCACGTCCGAACGGAGGAAGGCTGCCAGGAAGGCGAGGTTGTGGCGTCCCTGGGTCGAGCCGGCGGCACCCACTTCCTCGAGCAACTGAGCATCGCCGGATGCGGTTGAGAGCAGCAAAAGACCACTGAAGTCGTTCGCCTTCTGCATGCACTCCTTTACCAGGGCCATGTTGTTCTTGCTCGCTGCCACATCAGCCAGCTGTGACCACTTCTGGGAATTTTCCGACTCGCGGGCCAACTTGAGGGCGATTTCCAATTCCCCGATCTGCAAGGCCAAGTCGAACTTGTGGTCGGCATCAGTGGAGACCTGCAGGGCCTGCGACTTGAAGCCCTGCTTCTCCAGGAAGTGTGCCACGCGGGTGCGATGCTCCTTGGGAATGGTGGGCAGCACTATATCCGCGCGCTCGAAATCGCGGCGCATCACCGCCGTCTGGTACTCCAGCACGGAAAGCTGCAGGCAGAAGCTGATCACGTTCAGCTCCTTGTCGCCCAGGTATATGCGGTTGTCCTTGGGCACGTAGCCCAGCAGATACATTGTACGGTCCAAGTGGGATACTGTGACGATCTCGCCGCCCACGTAGTAGTTGATGCGATTAACCGAGTTGGTGTAGATAAAGCAGTCGCCCACCCAAAGGCCTGTCTTGACGCACTCTGAGACCTCACCTGCAATTAAAACGATCAAAATGATAAAATCAAGTTCTGGTTTTTTAGTAGCAGGCAATTTAAATTCAAAAAAGCAGATAAAAAATTAAGGATTGGAAATAAATTGAAATGGAGAACTATGAAATCGGATCTAGACAATTATTCTCTTTAAAGGAATGAGAATACCATGAAAAATGGAACATACGATCAAATGTTGTGCCTATTCTTGTCTCTTATTGGAAAACGTGATTAAGACACGTTTACAAAAGATAAGATGTTTGATAACTATCTTTCCCCAGTGGTATCCACTCACCCAAAACATTAAAGGCACTCTCCACGCCGTCATCCTCCAGTCCCTCCTTGGATTCCACGGCATTGGCAACCTGGGTTGTGTCCACTCCCAGGACGAAGTAGGAGTCATCTGTGGCCAGGCAGACCAGGCTGCCACTCTCGTTCCAGAACACGTTCTTCGGCTGCACCTCTATGCGCCGCACAAGCTGCAATGTCTCCCAGTCGTAGAAGGCCAATCCGGAGGAGGTCTTTACGCCGAAGTAGTAGCCGCCGTAAATGCTCTCTGCCCCGTACTCGGGAGTGAAGCTTTTGCGCTCCTTGAAGTTGCGGAACAGGCGAACGGTGCCATTGTTCTCCCTGATGGCATACTCGTTGCTCTCCAGCGCCCACACAAATTCTTGGGCGGAGCCAAAGGCCTTGTTTCTCAGCGCCATCGATGTGTAGATGATGTACTCGCCATCGCCGCAGACCACAACGAAACGGCCATTGGGGTTGTGGGCGATGGTCTGCGGATAGATCTCGCAGGCGCCCATGTCCTTAACGGCAACGGGCAGGCGCTCGCCATCCTTGATCTCAGTGCCATCGGCAATGGTCTTAAGGTTGACCTGCAGAGCAAACGAAACAGATTAGATATGTACTACTAAGACAAAGTATCCCCTGCTTACTAACCTGCTGCATTTCCGAGTGCTTAGCCCAAATTATCTTGCCTCCCACCACGTCCATGGACATTGCTGGCTCTTCGCGGCCCACCTTAATAATGATGGAGCCTTCATCGTATCCCAGGGCCACATTGTTGGTGCCCCGCATACTGGAAATGGTCCAGACTCGCTCGAATCCGTAGTTCAGGCAGGTCTCCAATCGATAAGTGCCCGAGTGCCAAATGCGCACGGTGCCATCTTCGGAGCCAGTCAACACGATAGGGAGCTCGGGATGGAAGCAGACGGCCGAAATGTTCTGGGCGTGTCCCTCCAAGGTCTGGACGCAGGTCTTGTTCTGGTAGTCCCAGATCTTCACCAGGCGATCGTCGGCACCCGAAATCAGGTATGGCTTATCGCCTCCATGGTAATAATCAATACAGTTGACGCCCTTCTCGTGTCCCTCCAGCGTGAAGTTGGCGAAGTTGGAGCCTAGCTGCCACACCTTAACCGTGCGATCTAGGGAGGCGGAGGCGAAGGTGTTGTTATCCTTTGGATTGAACACGATCTGCATGACGTAGTGGGTGTGGCCCTCGAAGACGCGCTGACAGGCCCACATCTTCTCCCAGTTCCAGAGCTTGATGAGCATGTCGTCTGTTGGCAAAAGAGGCAGGAGTGAGACACAAAACCAAAGCATACTTCCCAGCGTTGTCCAAGGTAAACACAAGAAGAGGATAACGAAATAGGGGTCGGATAATTCCACCGTTCACTTACCACTGCTGGTCAGCACCAGCGGCTGTGTGGGATGCACCGCGATGCAGCGCAGGTAGTCCGAGTGCGCCTCGTAGGAGTGCACCTTCTCCAGCGTGTTGTAGTTGAACACCCGGATCTGCATGTCATCCGAACCGGTGAGGATCCAGTTCTTGCGTGCCACGAAGCGGGCGGAGCGCACGGGGACGTCGCACACCTCGAAATCCTTAACCATTTGCTGGTTCTCGTAGTTCATGATGTGTACGTGGCCATTGTACAGGGCGCACAACATCCAGGGCTCCGCCGGATGGAGATCAACGCACTTGACCCGGTCCGAGCGCGACGTCAGGCGACGCTTGATGTCCAGTTTGAGAGGCATCTTCCACGGTTTGGGCAAACTACGGCTGTCTGCGAAAACACTAATTAATTGCGGCGAGACCAGGAAAACTCTTTTGCTGCTGCCTCCGCTGCTCTTCTTCTTCCCCTTGTTAATGTGTCAGAGCTGGCCTAGGGTTGTCGCCTGCCACGTACAAGCGCTGCCGATCGGGCTATCGATATTCGGAAACGGGTCAGTGGTGGCAGTTTGGCTCGTTGATATTTTATTACTATATTGCTAAAGTCAGAGGCATATTATAAATCAGTTCTGCAGATAAGGTTGCTTTCTTTACGTGTGTGAAACACTAAATTAATTAAACAATTAAAGAAGGAGGTTATTAATTTACTAGCATCCGTAATGAAGATTTTATTAAATATTAAATGTATAGTTCTATAATATATTATATACAATTTTTAAAATTTATATAAAATATGACTAGATTATTAAATAAATCTTGCTCAAATTGTATTTGTACAGTTATTTTTGTCTTTATATTCTGTAAAAATGTTGGCTAAGTTAGCTATTTTTAGCTTTTTCCAAGCTGGGATCTCAAAATGTCAGCGCTAACTAGTGATGAGACAGGTGTTTTTCGCACAGCCGGCACTTTGAAGCGTGCTCTTAGTACCATCCCCGCCAAGCCAGCTATCGATAGGTTTTTCAACTAGTCCACGTCTTCTACCTGCGGCTTAAAACTAAAATGCCGCATTACAATTAAACCTGTATTAAACATGCAATTACCCAGTGCTCGCTGAATAATATCTCTGCAGACAAGCATTCCATTACTGATAAGTGTAAAGTTCGAGCTGCCCGATGTGGATCACGGGTCGGTTTATTTTCCTTCTGCTGGTGGCACTTGTTGCCGCTAAAACGAAAACTTCGGCGGTGCAGGATGAAATCGCGGAGTACAAGGACTTCAAGAAGCTGCTGCGAACCAAGAACAATGTCCTCACGCTCTATGTGAGCAATGCGAAGGCCGCTGCCGCCGAGTTGAAGGTTTTCCGGGAGGCGGCGGAGGCGATAAGGGGTACCGGTACGATGCTGCTTCTCGATTGCAGCCAGCAGGATCGCAAAAAGCTGTGCAAGAAGCTGAAGGTCTCACCGGATCCCTACGCCATCAAGCACTATAAGGACGGCGACTTCCACAAGGACTACGACCGGCAACTGAGTGTCAGCTCCTTGGTCACCTTTATGAGGGATCCTTCCGGCGATCTGCCCTGGGAGGAGGATCCCGCCGGCGCGGATGTCCTGCACTTCAGTGACGCCGCCTCCTTCAGCAAACACTTGCGCAAGGACATTCGGCCTATGCTGGTCATGTTCCACGTTCCCTGGTGCGGTTTTTGCAAGAAAATGAAGCCTGACTACAGCAAAGCGGCCACGGAGTTAAAGACCAAGGGCGGTTATCTTCTGGCGGCGATGAATGTGGAGCGTCAGGAGAACGCTCCCATTCGCAAAATGTTCAACATAACTGGTAAGCCAACAATCACAATGGTAAAAGTTTCCTACTTAACAAAACTTCTTGACAGGTTTCCCCACTATGATCTACTTTGAAAACGGCAAACTACGGTTCACCTACGAGGGAGAGAACAATAAGGACGCCCTGGTGTCCTTTATGCTCAACCCGAATGCCAAGCCCACGCCGAAACCAAAGGAGCCCGAATGGTCGGCCGATACCAACTCTGAGATTGTCCACCTCACCACGCAGGGCTTCGAGCCCGCGTTGAAGGATGAGAAGGCCGCCCTTGTCATGTTCTATGCTCCATGGTGCGGGCACTGCAAGCGGATGAAGCCCGAATACGAAAAGGCTGCGCTAGAAATGAAGCAAAAAAAGATTCCCGGCTTGTTGGCCGCCCTGGATGCGACGAAAGAGCCGTCGATTGCCGAGAAGTACAAAGTCAAGGGTTATCCAACGGTCAAGTTCTTCTCGAAGGGCGTCTTCAAGTTTGAGGTTAATGTACGGGATGCAGCGAAAATTGTCGAGTTTATGCGAGATCCCAAAGAGCCGCCGCCGCCACCACCGCCAGAAAAAAGCTGGGAGGAGGAGGAGGACAGCAAGGAGGTGCTCTTTCTGGATGACGAAACTTTCAGTTCAACACTGAAAAGAAAGAAGCACGCACTGGTCATGTTCTATGCTCCTTGTAAGTTAAGCTTCCAGAACTCTTTATATTTCTTGAATAGGCTAGCTTTAATAAAAATCAATTATTTCTTTTAGGGTGTGGACACTGTAAGCACACCAAGCCGGAGTTCACGGCGGCTGCCACAGCCTTGCAGGATGATCCGCGTGTAGCATTTGTCGCCATTGACTGTACAAAACTGGCCGCGCTCTGCGCAAAGTACAATGTCCGCGGTTATCCAACCATTCTGTATTTCTCTTACCTCAAAACCAAGCTGGACTACAACGGCGGACGCACCAGCAAGGACTTTATCGCCTACATGAACAACCCGCCGAGCTCAGCGGACCGCACAGAGCTGTGATAAGCCTCTGCCAAGTGTAACTATACTGCTCTCTCACTATTTTGCAATCTCACTTCTTGTATTAGCTCTAATTGTATTCGTTTCGTTAACAATCAGCCTTGAAAGTCGTCTAGACTATCGAATATTTTATAAAATATATGTGCACTTTCTAACTGAATAGCATACTAATAAATTATGTTAAAACTAATAGATGAATTTCGTTTAACAAATGCTTTTACACAGATGCCTCTATTGGAACAATAAAAACTATTGAAATTATATAAAAGTATTTGCCTTGACTTATCAGATTCACTCAGTCCCCTGAAATCAATTTCCTTTTAATCTGCAAGTAAAACAGATTCGTTCTGATGATAAGAAAAGCAAAAAAAAATTAAGAATTTGAATAGTAATACAAGATAATGGCGCACGCCGGCATGAATTGATAAGAATAAGTAATGGGCCACAAAGAATGTTATGTTATGAAGAAATATATAAGCGATCTGCTCAATCTTGAGTAGATGTTATGCAAAAGTGGTAAATGCGCGGCATAATATTTCAAGTTAGTCAAGATATTGCGTTACAATAGTCATCAGTCTCTCTCTGGGCGACTTTTTCCATTTCTTTTATTGTACAATAAATTTCAATAGTTTCTAATTGCGTTTAAAACAATTTCTAAACTTAATATATTTTGGTTTAGCTATATAGCTAAATATTTATATTTAAAGTTCCTCATCAATGTGGCACACATTCTTAGAGCATAAAATGCCAACAGCTATTGCACACTTGCTCTGGTGTTCTGTGGTTTCGATTTGTTTCGCCTGAATTGATATCAAAGTCGAAGGCAGGGATGAAGGGTTTGATTAGCAGCTTTGTGGGGGCGGGAAGGTCTAATGTGAGCGGAAGATTGGAGTCTTAGCGCTCTGCTTCGGGTTTACTGTTGACCTTGCGACGGCTCAAACTGCCCAGCCAACTGCCGCGCTGCTCATTAGCCGTATAATCGTCGTTGATAAGCGCGAAACCGTGGAACATGTCCTTCATTTTGATGGCACGCGAACAGGCATAGTTCTTCGTGGCAACGTACATCTTGGTGAGAAACTCGGGCATCTGTTTCTGCGTCACCCAGGACTTGATATTTTGCGGTATGGGTATGCCCGGATCGTCATAGTACGTGAGGACGAAGTGCAGCCCGGGCTCGTGAAAGCCGCGAAAAGGCTTGATGACCATTAGGCTCCAGTAGTCGGTGACGCGCACTTTTCCAGACAACGCCGGATAGGAGTTGTGCGTGGCCCCGCGGTTGCAGATGAAAATCATCTTCTTGTTATCGTCCTTGATATAGCGACGGCAATAGACATAGTCACGATTGGCGAAGAGCCGAGGCCACTGCATCTCCCAGTATATCAGATGTGAGTTGCTGCCCGGCACGGGGTCCTCGCTGATGAGCTCCAGTCTCAGGGCCGTGTCGTCCCACTGGCGGCGGTAGTCCAGATCGGTTTGAACGTGGAGGAAATCGTCGGCTGTAATGTCCTCGAAACGGGCATAAACCTGGGCAAAAAATAGAGAGTAAAGATAAGTTATACCAGAGATGAGAGTAGCTTAATCACCTTGTATGAGTACAAGGAGGAGCGCTCCTGCCGCCTCCAAATGCTGAACTCATTCTTGCTGAAGTAAGGCTCCCATGTGTGGTCATCCTGGGCCTGAATGCGTACCGTGCCTGCGGGAGCATTGCGCACGTCCAGATCCAGCGGTCGCTGGCAATTGCTGATGCTGGACTCCGCCTCCGCCTCCTTGCTGGTAGATGGCTTGGTCTGGCCCTTTTTACAGCGCTGGTTGCCCAGCTGACAGTAACAGTACTTCATCTTCTTGGACTGGCAGCGCTCGCAGAGCTGATTGTGGGGCAGGGCGTTGATGAACTCAATGTCCCGGCGGCACATGTCGAAATTGGACAGGGCCAGGCGCTCCTTGTTCCAGTCAAAGCCGTCGCTGCCCAGCCGCTTGATGTTCAGCCCGACGAGACCCACAGCACTCATCACCATTCCCCGGAGCGGGGGCTGCAGCTCCCGGCGGTAGTAGGCGCGCCATAGCTGCTTCAGTCCCTGGGTTCCGTACACCGACTGGTAGAAACTGAACAGCTGCTGAATGCGGCGCGACCGCTGGGCAAAGATCGACTCGCATTGATAGCTCCAGGCGCGCAGCGTCTCCCGCGACTGGTTCTTGATGGCCAGCACAAATCGATTGAGCAGCATGCCGGCTAATTCAATTTGGCCGCTTGCATAACAGCCCACTGAATATGCGGCGACTTTGTTAAGCTCCTTCGCTATTACTGTGTGCCCTCGCCCGCGCACACTTGGCACATTTGTCGGCTCGAAACTTGGGGAATTTAGTACTGCTGACCGGGACACAATCGATCGGTTTGACGGAAGACTTACTGCACGAGAGCTGGGTTATGTTCTGGCCGGGCTTATCATGTTTGACGATTGAAAAAACGTGCAACTTGCAATTTGTCTGCTGCTATGTTGTTATTGAGCTGTTGTTGTTGGTGTCGTTACAGGCAACAGTGTTGGAGAACGGCTGGCCGCCTGCTGAGAGTTGACAGCTGCGATCAGCGATCTCTGATCACTAATTCACCTTTTATGCAACACTAAAATGTAAGTTATAAATAAAAAAAACATTCACGTTAAACAAATTTTTGTGGGAGAACTGAATACTAGTGCCATAATATAAGCAAAATTCATTTTGCTTCAGCGCCTGAAAACTGACACTGCGTAAATTAAGTCCTGTGACTTATAAAAATAGGCTTTGATTTTTGGAATTGTTTTTTAGCGGCTTAACTGTCTTGACTGGACGTATTTGAGTCTACAAAAATGCCTTTCCAAAAGTAAATACTTACATAAGTAACACATTAATAATACCAAAAATTTTTTTATCAAACACAATTCTAAATTTAAGCGTTGAAATTAAAAAATCTTTAGCTTGACTAAGACTTTAACTCGGTGACGTTTTTCGATATTTCATAATTGTTAAATTTTAACCTACGAATACGCATTATCACTCCACTCTTTTGAGTTCCTTGCCCACTGTCTTTGCCTTTCGACGTTAGGCAACACTACACCTGGCCAACTCGTGGTGCGGCAGCATTGTTTTTGTTGCGCAGATTTTGATTCGATTTGATGTGTGAAACTGCTTTTGAGCCTGGAAGAATCCTAAGACAACCCAGGCAGGATGTCCATGCGGCGCCAGCGCATCAAGGCGCCGGCCAACCTGTCGCTCATCAAGCGCAAGCCACGCAAGGAGGAGCTCGCAGCGCCGAAGAAGGAGGTGGAGGAGGAGGAGGTGGTGGTTGAGTCCCCGCCCCTTGCAGCGACCTCTGCGGAAGTGGAACTCGAAGCTGATGCAATCGCCTTCAAAATGCCTGCCAGCTCGGCGGGCCAACTGGAGGATGTCTTCCACTCGGACCTCGAGGACAATGTCATTCAGATGGACTTGCAGAAGACCACCAATGGGTTTCCCATGTCCCCCAGCAAGGCGCAAGCCCGCCAGCGTGTTCGACCCACTCCAGTGTTTGGTCAGCGGCGCAACAGCTTTGTGGGCTCCCCAATGGCCGGTGACTATGAGGGTGACTACCAGTCGCCGGCCACGCCCACGCGACGCGAGCGCTACCTCAGCGGTTCGTCCACGGGAACCCCACAGCAGCATCAGGTGGGATCGCCCATGCCTCCGTCCCCATATAAATACCCGCCCATGAGTCCGGGCATGGGACGCATTCGCACCGAATCCACCTGTTCCACGTATTCCGAGGGAGGCAGCAAGCGAAAGGGCGACGACAAGTCTCAAGGCCACGGCGGAGCGCGGTTAAATGCCCGGCGTGACTTCGAGACGCGCTTCAACAAGGGCGTGCCCGACAAGTCCACGTTCAAGATGATGGACATGATTTTTTACAATCCAGAGAGCAATCCCATGGTTCCCAAGCAGGCGGTTACGACCATCAAAGATGAGTCCAATGGTGACGAGGCCAAGCCGTCGACGGATCAGCTGCTAGAGACCAAGGGAGAGTCAACATCCGCCATGCTGGTGCCTCAGTTGAAGCTCGATGCCAATGGCGAGATGATCATTGACGAGAAAACGCTGGAGATCGAGACCACAGCTGAGGTGGAGGCCCGCAAAGTGCTGGCCAACTCATCTCTAATTCTAATGGACGAGACTACGGGTGGGTTTCATAGATCATTTAAAATGGTACACTTTTGTATAGCTTCTTATCTACTGAGCAGGTGATAATGGTTTCTACAAACGCCACAAGCGCACGCCGTTCTGGACGTCCGATGAAACAGTACGTTTCTATCGTAGCCTGCAGATCATCGGGACGGACTTCTCGCTGATGTGCCAGATGTTTCCCACGCGATCGCGTCGGGATCTGAAGCTCAAGTACAAAAAGGAGGAGCGTACCAATGGTCAGCTGATCAACAAGGCGCTGCTCTATCCCAAGGCATTCAACATTCAGGAACTGAAGGACCAGCTGGAGGAGGAGGATCGCCTGCGAGAGGAGAATGATCGCCAGTGGAAGGAAATTTCAAAAGCTATTCCGGGGAACCCTAAAAAGGTTTGTTTAAAAAGAGGACATGTCATGTACAGTTACCATAACTACTATATACTTTTAGCGTTCTCGAATACAGCAGCAAAGCAAGGCGTCACGTGCTCTGCAAGATGGCGATGTTGTCTACGAAAACGAGCACGTGACGAACAAGAAGCTCGGCAAGCAGGCCTGGGCCAAAAGGCGGAAGGATTTGGAGGCCGACGAGAACGATGGAAGTGCTCCCGCCAAGCGAAAGCCCAAGGCTAGGCGACGGCCTCCCAAACCACCAACTCAAGTGGCAGCTGAGGGACATTCGAACTTGGCGGCCATTAAGCAGGAGAAAGCGATCAAAACCGAACAAACTTTATGCCATTTACCATCAGGAGGAGAACTGCAGGCTGATCTCAATGGACTGCTGATGGATGACCCAATGGAATATGAAGTAGGTGTAAGCAAGCCAAGTGATAAAACTATCATCGATATGGATGACGGTACCCTAACCTATGTGAGCGACGTTGAATCCGGGAGTGAGGCGGCAAATCGACAGTCGGAAACATATTTAATCAACTTTATTGAAAACGATGAAGTTATAACGCCGGATGACCCCATTCCGCCCACCACTACCGAACCGGACATCGAACAAATTCTCGCAGAGCTGGCGGAAGGATCGTTGGTCCTCGTCTCGTCCTTGGATCCAGAGCACGAGGATCGTGTGCTCAACGAAATCTACATGCTGGATAAAAAGACGGGCGAGTTGTGCGAAACACCGCTGAATATACCAGAGCATATTGTTCAATGCATAATGAATGTTATGAAATTAGAGGACTAACATTATTTTATATTATTAGTTTAAGAGTAATTGTTAACGTTTATAATTTATTAAAGCATTTCGATGGATGCATTTAATTAATAACCTTGCGATTAATTTACTTTTTTTTTAAACCAAATTGACTTTTAAGTGTTAAATCCGAAAATTATTTATTGTTCTTTGATACATTTTTATGTTAAAACCTTTGGAGACCAAAGCTCTTTTATGTTTTTATATTTCTTCTGGATTACAAATAAAAATTTAAATTTAACAAATTTTTGAATAGGCGCCTGTTTTAGGGTTGTCGCATTTCAATAATATTTCTACGACTCCCAACACTATTGTTTAGCAAGGCCGTTATAGCACACTGGCCGTTTGACAGCTGTTGTTGTTGCCGAGGCATTGGTAGCAATTTACTAGAATTTAACAAATTAAGCCACAAACGATGGCCCAAGTTCCCTTGGCAATTGTCTCGCACAAGCGCCAGGTGTGCAGCCTGTACAAGCGGGCGCTGCGCAACCTGGAGGCCTGGTACGACCGACGGTGAGTGCGGCTGCCCAATAATACCCGAAGATTATATAATGAACAAGTGCATCTTGGTTGTTTCAATCCCCGCCAGCAATGAGTTCCGCTACCGCGCCGTGCAGCTGCGTGCCCGGTTCGACGAGAACCGCTGCAAGGATCTGGGCGAGGGCACCCAAATCCTGGCCTGCGCACAGAAGGAGCTCTTCGAGACGAAGCATTTCCAGCCCCGGAACTGTAAACAAATGGCTGCTGGTCATCATATCTGCGTATCTAACATGTTATCCTTGCAGTTGCCAACAGCGCCGGTGGCTGCGCCTTCGAACGAGAGGTGATCCCGCCCGACTGGCTGCTGGACTACTGGCATCCCCTGGAGAAGGCCCAGTACCCCGAATACTTTGCCAAGCGGGAGCAGCGCAAGAAGGAGTACGTGACCTGGTGGGAGAAGCAACACGGCAAGCCGGATCCCAAGGACCTGGGACACCACTAATCTTAAAGTACCGTAGTCAAATCAAATACAGTCTTTGTCTTTAAAAGTAAATCTATTGGAGCTCAGAGTGTGTGCTATTATAATATGTGTGTTGTACCGGAATGCAGTCGAACTTCCATTGGTCGAAATCTATATTTCGTAACGAGTATTGTTTCCCTAACTGAAGCCCAATCCATGGCTCATTGTAGATGATTTTTCAAGAAAGAATGAAAGTTTTGTAAGATACAAGTTTTAAAACATGTAAGAAATTAACAAGAACACTCGTTAGATGTAACATTAAGATACGGTATTGATGTTACATTTAAATATAACAGAATGGTTCGAGACGTTTATTCGCCTGAGTAAGTACAAAGTATCAAAAAGTCTTGCCAGGGAAAAGCCATACATAGCCAGCCATACATGAATTCAATGACTTATTTTGGAAAAAAAAACTTAAGAAATACTTTGATACATGTTATTTGTCTAGGCCTTAAGCATTTACCTATGATAATTTGGTTCAATTTCAAAGTACGAAGAATGCTGATCCTTTGGCTAGGTACAAGTTACACTTTCATACACAAGCGAAGGTGAACTTTAAGCGCGAATTTTTTATGCCACATGTGACGTTCGACTGCAACTCCTTTGTACTGTGTTTTCTTTGTTATATATTAATATATTTATGAAAGTAAATGAACGATAGGTTGTGGTGGCGAAGCTCAGGGGCGCGAGTGCTGTGGGGATGTCCTTCGTGTGCTTGGCTGGAGGTCCTGCCGCCTAGTTCAGCTCGTTGGGATCCAAGCGAGGACGCTTTTTGCTGTTGGTGCCGTTGCCGTTGGGCGTGGAGCTGTTGCCGTTGCCATTTCCGGACTCGCCACCGTGCTCCCGCTTGCGCTGGAGCGTCTTCTTGTCCCACTGCTGGGTGAGGTAGCGCAGCAGGACGCAGCGCTTGTCCATCACGATCAGCTGCTCGGAATGCTCATCTTCGGTGGGCAGGTAGACGGAGGCCCGCTTCTGCGAGGTGCGAATCCCATGCTCGTTGCTTAAGTGGGTGAAATTGGTCGAGTCGTGGATGGGCAGCCCCTTAATAAAATCTTTCACGGACATTTTTGAAGTTGCTGCGGAGTACGAAAAATATGTGTACAGCACTTGCGATTGCCACTCACTTAGAGCATACTCCATTGACTTACCTTCTTGATTTTTCGTTGTTTTATTAGTA